CTGTTCTTTCAAGTCTCCCAATGGTGCACTCATTGCCACTGTAACTGAGTCCATCCACCTTCCTGGTGGTTGCCCTCTTCTCTTTCCTTCCATCTTTCAGCATTAGAGCCTTTTCCAAAGAGTTGGGTCTTCACATAATGTGTCCAAAGTAGGATAATTTGAGCCTGGTCATTTGTGCCTTGAGTGAGAACTCTGGGTTCATTTGTTCAGTGATTCATTGGTTTGTTTTCTTGGCTGTGCACAGTATTCTCAGGAGTCTTCTCCAACACCAAAGTTCAAAGAGGTCAATACTCTTCCTAACCTGCTTCTTGCTTCCTTAAAATCCAGTAGATGTTTATGTGCCCATTTAAAATCAAGGGTCAGAATTCAGGAAGAACCTTACATACTTTATTGTTATGATTAATGATCCAGATAAAAGCATAAAACTATGTAAAAACATAATCAGGAATACAGAATTTGATGGTGCATTTTAACCAACCCAGAACTTAGTCACAGTGCTGGTAATGCTAGCCTTAGAATCTGAAAGTATAAACTTTAAGATCAGTACATTCTGGATACTGTCACATAACAGGTGCAATAAGAGAATTCCATATGTTCCTATAGAAATTACAATACAGCAGTACATGGGCAGTGGTTTCAATCTCCTCTGACCCTCAAAGGCAAACTTATTCCAGTAAGGGGAATTTGGAGTATTTGCTCAATAAGAGTACTGATGGCAACACAAAGATGTGTTCCATTTAAGATCTGAGCTAATATTTTAGTTTTAAAAAGTTTAAGAGTGGCAAGCACTAACTCATTGGAGAAAAAAGTGTCTAATAGCAGGAGAAAACTATAATGGTACCTGAGAGGCATAATCATGACATGCTTTCAGGATCCTTTGATGTCGAAGACCACTGCAAGATATTTAAAGGTGTGAACCTGTTCAATCTTAATCCTATCTTTAAAATCTTATGAATGAATAAATAATATTGCAGCCCACTAGTTAGGATTCAGTTTTATTGCTTCTGGTAGAATTTGGTCAATGACTTGAACCATCCCATCTTCAGAAGCCTTATTAGTTTCTGATAGCGAGACTAGAAGCCATGTTTCAAATTCCACTAGTCCTGTTACAGAGCTATGTTTGATCTTATAAAGGGGGAATGATGGTTTTATAGCTCTTCTCATCTGTCAAACTGATTTCCTTTAAAGAGTCTTTCAATATAGCTATTATGAGGTATGTGCTATAAGCAAAACTTACCTGTGTATAGAGTCCTCATCTGGTGTTGAAAATTGTTTATCATTGCACAGGGTCCCAGGGGTAGGTTGGTTTCTCCAGTGATGAATTGTTGACACCTTCCTCAGAAAGTGGTTGAATATTAATAGAAGAGGGAGGCTCCCAAGTTATTATTGCTTTAGATCTGCTGTGCATCATGTGAGTGTTGGAAAAATACTCATAGTTTCTTTCCTGGCAGTCATAAGCTTATCAATGTTCAGCTGTTTAATAGACTGTCCAGCTGTCTGCTCAGCAGTGTGCCACCAATTCCATCAACAGTGTTTATGATTTCAGAAGGCTCTAGTTACATCTTCTTTTCTCAGTTTTGATGAGGAATGGAATCTTAGTTGAAAGTTAAGATCAGGTAAAGGAGTGGACTATCTAAAATCCTTGGTTTTCTGCACATTATCTGGAGCTCATTAGAAGGACTGCTATTCCAGCACCATCTTGCCCCTCCTTCCATGTTCAGGGAGGAAATTCTGGGAGAAGTCTGGGCTGAAGCTGGACAAGAGTAGGAGTTTACTATCTCAAAGTTAAAAAGCAGTTTTACATTTATTTTTGTAACACATGTTTTTTTAAAAACTAAAACTTGATTTTTTTTCCTCTGATGAGATAGTTTGTCAAGGAGGAGAGGAAGAGTTGAATCATCTCATCACATGCCTCTGCACAACTCAACCAAGAAATTGCACTATTGAAAATTATGTTTGTTTGCATTTTTGCCTTTTAATTGCTACAAGGACAAATTGTGGCAGCCCTGCCTCTCTCACACACTGGGCTAGGAATGGATGGTCAAATAAAGCATCCCGGGAAGAGAGGTGGTGGCAGCACAGGCACTGTCATTCCAAAGAAGCACTGGGTTTTTTCTACCCTGAGTCTGTATACACTCTGTATGGCTTTGGGGAGACTTTGATGTGTACAGAGCATTCAAGATCTATAGCTATCACAAATGATTTTTCAGGCATACTGACACTTTTGTTACCCTTTACTCCATTTGTTGGGGTCAGAGTGGTAATGGGGAAACGTATAGCCCCCTATTAATTAGTTTGCCACAACAAGGCTTTCTCCATGTAAAACTGCTATGTGGACCACATAAAACACCTTTGCTGAACTATGCAGATTGGACACATTTTCTTTTGTGGAGGCAGACTTGTGGAGAAAAGTGCTACAACAGTCTTCCTCCCTCATTTGTTTTACCTACTATCATACATCCTAGATACTAGGTTACATATGCATACTTCAGTGTTTGATATCTCTTCACATTAAACTGAAAATAACATTAACAAAGTAGCTCTTACAAAAGACTTGTTAACTGAATTGAGTTGCCACTGTGGCATAGCCAGGTTACAAAATAACCATAGACATGAAAGTGAACTAACATTGTTGGATGTAGCATACTAGTGGAGTTTTTGTGGGGTCCAAAGATACTACTGTAAATAAATACTTTGTTAGAGGCTGGTGCTTTGCTTTGTAGTTGGGTGATTTATTATTCATTAAATCAAGGGAACGAGTTTGGGTGGCACTAAAAAGGAAGTTTGGTGATTGATCTCTAAATCATCAATGTCTGACTCTTCTTTGTCATACCTATTAATTCAAGTTATGGCAGAGTACTCTTCCTTGCATCTCTTCCTTATTGTACTAGGAATAATTAGGAAGGGATTACTTCCTCTCCTTTCTCTTTTCCTCTGCCTTATGGACTCCTCAAGTGTCTGATGTTCAATTATGGGATGAAATTGGGCAGAGTTTATCAGCCTAGAAGCAAAAATGGGATTTACCATCCTGAGTAAAATGGAATTTAATGCATTGACCAATATCTGTTACACCAAGCTAACCAAAACTATTTAGTTAAGTATCCAGTGTTCCATTTTCAAAGTTCTTAAATAATACATAAATAAATATAAACAATTTTGCTATTGCTCTTTTTTCTCCTCTAAATAAATTGTTGGTTGTTGAATACAGCTATTTTCTTTTTCAGATGTTTCAAGTGATACATGTTGAGAAACCACTCTATGTGCAGGCAAATAATTGTGTGGAAGCTAGTGAGTGGATAGAAGCTCTCTGTAGAGTGAGCAGATGCAACCAAAAGAGATTGAGTGTCTACCATCCATCTGCTTTTTTGAATGGAAATTGGCTTTGCTGTAAAGACACATCAGAGAACACAGTAGGCTGTATGCCATGTACTGCGTAAGTAACATCTGCAAGAAAAATAATACATGCATGTTTTGGAATAGAAATAATTTTGCTTATGTTGCTGTAACTCAGGTTATTTATTGTCATAACTGGTGACCCAAGAGAGACTCATGTCAGAATTATGCATGTGCTTGAGATTAGCAAGTAGCTCTCAACATTATTAGATTTGAAAACATACATATTCATATTGATGCCAACTATTTATCAGTTCTGATTATGAAACAACATAGATTATTAATCCTATAATAAATGAATTTATTTCTATAATAAATGAATTTATTTCTGTAATAAATGAATTTATTTCAATTGCCATTTGGAAATGGCAACTTTTGTTCTTTGCATCCTGAGTGTGTATCTGTGCAATGCCCCTCCTTCCCTCCCTCCCTCCCTCCCTCCC